CGTCACAGGCAGGCACGGTCTCCCGCCGCCAGGACTTAGCCCGGAGGCTTTACGACTCACGCAGCCCCCTCAGATACCCATCAGCGAGAGCGCCCCTAGCCTTAGACCGAGCACCCTGCCTCCCTAATGCACCTCAGCGACAAAGGCCCGCAGCCCTTGCCCCGACCTGGCAACGGTGGAACACTAACACAACTGCTACAACCACGCGGCCTGACCCCGCGCCCCAGCCTCACAGGCTGTTCCCCAGGCTGCCCTCCAGGCTGCCGCACCGCACCCACTCTTCAACAGAGCGACCCCGCGTGACGCCACACGGTCCCTCACCCCCTCCAGCCTAAACCCAACCTGCCCGTGATTCTTTCTTCTGTGAATGCCTTGCGCCACATCCACGCTTCACAGAAGGACCATGGGTATGACTGGAACACATGCGTCTCACCATGCCATCATCGCACCGTAACTTGAGACTTCCTTCAGGCCATCGTAAAGCTCTCAAGGGTTGCCACTGAAACGCCCTTACAAAGCCTCTGAATGAACAGAAGAAAGAATGAAGCATAGGGCTTCATATTTTCCCTTATGGTCATGTCCTGTCCCTAGGCTAGGTGCAAATCATGCACTTATTTCAATTATCGTATTTATGCCTCCACTCTAGTTACCAAGTAACTCAGCCGGACATAAATACGACATGACGCCATCCAGCCTGACACGCGCTTTGCCGCACCTTTATTGGTTACCGCAACGACTATTGTATTGTCAATATGCAAAGGCAGCCGAAAACAATCGGCACAGTATAAGTACTGCAAAAAGCTCATGTACGTGGATAGATCCTGTGCAATCAGGGCATCCGGATATTGTGATGCAGCTTGAGAAAAGTCAGCGAGAGTTGACCGTCTAAGAAGAAACGCCCCATAGCCATAGCTGGAAGACGCCATAGTGGAAAAATCATCCAAGGAAAGAGGTTGAAAGGGATCAGCTAGTTTGGCCGTCAAATTGTCGCAAAAATGGGATGCCACTGTTGAAAAACGGCGTTGTTGGGAATGATTGATCAAATAATCAAATTTACACAATGTGGATCGAATGTCTGGAGTCTAGCGGCGCTAAAGCAATTTAGTCCGTGTCCTATGCTAGACTCGCTCAAGTAGAGTCACACGCCAAGTCTAGGTACCTATATTGTTAGCCTAGTAGGTTCAGTTGGCCCCGAATAATCAGGTCCAAAAATTTCGCACAAATCTGAGTATCCACAAAGTTACTAATTTAACACCGGTCAATCAATAAGTCAATGGGTGTAACGCCGTAACATGCGCTCCTTTTACTTCAACCGCTAACTATTGGTTCTCGTCGCACTACCGTCGACGTCACCCAAGAGATCGGGCACAGTAAATGCCCGAATCTCAATAGCCACCAACTCTGATAATTCCAGTATGCCTTAACCGCAGTGTGCCTTAAGATAGGTGCCCGGGGACGGTGGGGTTGGGTTGATGGTCAGGGTGGGTTGGGGTGCGAAGCGCGTAAGTTTTTCGGTTAGAGTTTTTAGTTTGGTGGCTCGAGATCTGAGGGCACACAAAAGATATACCAGTATCAGCTACCATTCGAGATCAAGGCCCATTGCCTTCGAGATGCGGATATGGTTTACGGGGCCGTTTAACGTTCCAATGAGCATCAATTGGGCGACGCAGATATGTGCGGCCGCGCCATGTACGACCTTGCAAACTCTGTTTACTTTTGCCATTAATCTATTAACCCCTTGCGAGTAATACTAGTACGCCCAAGAGTGGTTAGGATTAGCGCGGAACTTGCCGCTTGAAGCTTCTTGGACATCAAATGAGCCTGCATGGCGACGGAATTCAATGTGTTACCAAGAAGATCAATCACCTGGCAAAGGGCGATGTATTTATGCCATTGGGCGCCCGCATATTAACCCTCAATCCCAATCTGCAAAGCAGAGTTCGAAGTGGCCAAAATACGTACCAAGCCACTGCTTGATTGGAGCAAATGATATTAGAGGACCGTCGACATATACAATAACAATGCAAAAACCGCGCCGAGCTATTATATGCGGATACTGGCTCAAACCGAGTTGCTGGTAACCATCAAAGTACAGGTCTTCTAACGAATGCATTGGCAAAAAAAGGCCAGTGTATCTCAGTCATAAGTGTCGATCGGAATGATCAGCAACTTCGATCAGCAACATCGATATCGCCTTTAACCATATACCCAACTGGGGCTCATCAGCGGAATGGCGCGGTTGACAAATTGAAGCGCAAAGTTCGCCTTCGTTAGCGCATCATTTAGCGGAGCCGCATCGTTGGCCGTGAGTGATCATGAATGACACAAACCGTCGTTTCGGTCTTAGGGTTGGATCGTGTAGGCACTGCGTGGGACCGTGTGTACTATAGCTTTGCCAAGTTCTTATATACTAAAGTGTGACTTCAGGCCCGGTGCTTTATATCTAGAGTCTCTCTATTGTCGCTTGCCTTGGGCCTGAGACGTGATTGGCCGCACAGCAGACAAAATTGCATCAATGGCTTGACTGAAACGCTGGCCTTAAAGGCATTTACTTCCGAATCTGCTAAATCATTTATGCAGGCGTGCATGCTGTCCTCTAAGTCAGAAACGAAGCTTGACAATTTGTCATGCTTATTTTGCATGACGGAGCAGCTTTTCTTCAATAGAGAAGTTGCCTCACTGAGCTAAGGGCAGCTCGCGCGAGCTCTCCTCATCTTTCAAACTTTGCCTTTGCGAAAAGAAAGGCGCTTGTGCACTGAGCTGATGGTGCAAGGGGGAGGAAAATCTGTCCCCCCGCCCAATCCACCCACTGCGAGCACCTCTTTCTCTTGTGCCCCAGCATGTCCTCTTGCATCGCCTGCTCCGAACGTGCTGCCTGTGCCCAAATTGCACAACTTGGGCGCGCGTGCACGCCTGCGTCATCTCGGCGGGCGTGCCGCTGGCCAGCGCGCCAGCCCACATTAGACGCAACGTGCGCACTTGTTGTCTCGGCGTTGCACGGCTCCGGTCGACAGCTATGCAGAATTGTGAAGACCGGTACTCACTTTGGCGGAGGCAGGTTGTTGTTGATGCGGCTGGCAAGATCTTCGTCGTCGCTATCGGCTGACGCGGTCTTGCGGTACCGATACATCTCGCTGCAACATGAAGCCAAGTCGGTTGTGGGGAGCCTCTTATATGGCATGCATGAAACTCTGAAGCTTTCGAGTGGGCAACATATCTGTTCTCTGCTGCTTGGAAACCCTAGACGCATTGGGAAGACGACTTGTAGATGTTTGCCTTCTCACAGCTTTGCAAATCGTCTGTGTCTCGAAAATGTGGCCTTTTTCTGTTTTCAGTGCCAAGCGCGCAAGCTGGAGAAGACTGATCACTCAGGTCAAATCCCGTTCGCAATCCGAGTCCGAGCTCTCAAAGTCGGTTACACTGGAACCGGCTCGTAAGTTCGCGTGGGGGTGCCACTCGTAAGCACATCAAATGGCGTCAGTGACCACGAGAGAGCAGTCTCGAACTTTAGCTGTGAGCGTGCAATATGACAGTTAGGCTTTAACGCTGCGTCATGACTCGTTGGCTCCTACTGTAGCACTCCTAGCACTAGGTGCATAGGTGAGAATCTGGAGACTTGAGGAGATCAGTGGGGGATCTCAGTGGTCGCCGGTTTCGCGCATTGGGCGCAAGACTGGAGCCGAAGTGGGAGCCAAAGTACTGCGCAGCAGTCTGGATCTGTTTTGATGTCGCCGACGCGCGTGTGAAAATTCGCGACCCGGAATTTCGTTGACACGCGCGGCCTGCCAGGTCCGTGGCGTACTGGAAGACTGGACTTTTGCAAGCTCGGAAAACGGGAGAAAACCCCATTCGCTTCGCATACGCGAGAACCCTAATAGTAAAAGCTAGGAAAATAAGTCAAATCTCTAAAAAAGCCTTTAATATATATATTCAAGTGGTGACTTCGGGTTATCTTTCTGCGCCGGCTAGCGAAGATTTTCTCCGCAGCCAGGCATACTCGAAGGACCTTTAGCCAGATCCATGTGCAGAAAATTCCGAACGGAGGCAGGCCAACCCCTCCGTCCAGAGAAAGTTGCAAACTACGGGGTTTGACCCGCGGACCTTCGGGCCGACCACAAGTGGAGGCACGTGGCAGTTCTCTAGCCAGCTGAGCTAGCCGAGCCGCGAGCGCAGAAAGATGCGCTGCACGAAGGACTCGGAAGTTGGTTAGCACAATCGCCGAATTTCACGTCCTAGCCCTGATTAGGCACGGTTGTTCAATACCGTAGTCCAACGTGATGATTCCGAACGATTTTATTTGGAATTATTTTCCGACAATCCGACCAGAAAAGCGGATTTATTTATGATGATTCCGACAAGAATCCGAATGCCCTATGTTCTCACTAGGAAGGGGATTTTGAGGCCGAATTTTGCCGTTTTCGGGCTTCCGAGGACCATTTCAGAAACAATTAACCTTCCCGAGTTTCCACTTTCCGAATGCGAAATCCGAATTTCTGACTTTCCGAATGCAGATAATTATTTATTTATTTATTCGGAATCATTACCTTGGACTACGGTAGTTAGGCACGGTTGTTCAATCCCTCCTGCCTAGATTGCCATCCTGCGCAGGGGCGCCATTCGAGCAGGGGGGTTAGCCACGATGGCTGGTCAGTACAATCTGAAGAGCCCGGGAGTCAAGCGGATTCTTCAGGAAATGAAAGAGATGCAGAGAACCGAGAGCTCGGAGTTTGTTGCGGAAGCCCTAGGAAGTGACCTGTTTGAGTGGCATTTCGCAATCAGAGGTCCAGCGGATACGGAGTTTGAAGGGGGGATCTATTGCGGACGCATTGTGTTGCCTGCTGAATATCCATTCAAGCCGCCGGCGTTCATGTTTCTCACCGTAAGCTCCCTGTTCGTTTCTTTATCCAGGCTGGTTGTTAGGGTTGTACGAGTCATTCTGGTTACTGCTTGTTTATTAGTCGTTGCAAATTTAGGATCCTGGAACAGGCAAACTGTCAGAAAGAGGCAAAGCGTCGGAGGTGCCGTTGGTGAATCATAAAGGGCCGCAGTTTTGGAGCTTGGCGTTCACGCTTGCAGCTCTTTTGCAGCTTTCCTCAATGTTGATTGTCGCCACTTTACGATTCAGCCAATTGGAGATCATTACTCAGAGGCACTTTCATGGGAATTGCAGGAGGTTCAATCTCACTTTGCTTTTTAGGAGCGCAAAAACTTTTGGATGCAACTACAGAAACATGACTATCTGGAACAGAAGGTTATCGTCAACTCACCTAAGCATTTACTGAATCTAGTAGAGTGATCCTATGTATTCCAGATAATTTGGTGGTGCCATGAGGTTGTAGGGTATGAAGATAGTGTGCTTTTGGTGTTTGGACCTCAGGCAAAACTTCAGCCATGAGGCCCCTCCCAAAGCCTCAGAACGGAGCCCTTTGATGACGACTAGTTACTTCAAGTGAGGAAGATGCAGATGTTAAATGTCCCACCAGCTTTCTGCTGGCAGTCTCTAGCAACCTATGCATAAGAGTTTCCAATCGATTTGTGCAGCCAACCGGGCGTTTTGAAGTGGGGACAAAGATCTGCCTCAGCATCTCGCAGCACCACCCCGAGCACTGGCAGCCAAGCTGGAGCAGTGAGTGGTCCCGGCCCTCTTTCAAAACCTTTTGGTCTTCTTGGCTTCGTGCCAGTGCTGTGTTTGGGACTGCCTTCGCCTCATTCGCTTGGCCCCAAAGGTTGACTGTTACTACCACCTGTCAGGCAAGGACATCTGTACGCGTCTGCCAGATGTTTGCCTTTTGTTGGTCGCAAAGGTTTGAGAATCAGGATATGTCTGTTTGCTATCAGGGTTGTGCGGTGGGAGTTTATAGTGAGAGCTCTTCTGCAGGATGCTGTTCATCTGGGCCCCTGTGCATCAGATTGGCAAGTGCATCATCAGTGTTCTCCACAATCGGATTTGTTTTGACTGCTCTGTTTGGCTCACATTTCTGGGCCTGATTGCTGTCTCCCTCCCTTAATCTAGATCGAGTCCATTTCAGTCAATCTGCCATGATCGCCTCTGTCACCAATCCTGCCATACTTTCATCTCTCTTTCCTTCTGACTTTGACCCCTCCCTAGTTTGATTGCTTGCTATTTTCAATTTGATCATGTCGTGCAATCCTCTCTCTCGCTCTCGAATCAAGCTCCAACTTATTGTCAGCTCCAGCTTATTGCTTAAGTGTCAGGAAACGACCTGTCTTGTAATATGTAATGTCTGAGTTTGTTTCTTGGTCTCTCCAATCGACTGCCCCAGTAGCCCGGAGTCTACGGACGTTTCATGATCTGTCAGACTTCTCCAGAAATTTTCTCTCTGCATGACATACTTTGTGATCGTCTTCAACTCCCTCTGAGTACCCATGTTGCTTCAGAGTCTCCAAATCTGCCATTCTTCTGAAGATCTCCTTTCCCTCCAGTCCGGCTCGCTCTCACCGCCCTGATTGCCTTCATGCCAAGCAAGGCTGAGGGCGCGCTCGGCTCGCTCGACTACACCAAAGAGGAGCGCCGTGCGCTGGCTATCAAGTCTCGTTCCACTCCTCCCATGTACGGAAGTCCCGAGCGACAGGAGGTGATCGACCGGCTCCACGCAGCTCTTCTCGAAGGGGCTCCGCCCGTGCCAGATCTGGTCAAGGCCTCGTCAAAAGGCAGGTCGCTCCAGGAGGCAGAGGAAGCGAAGGGAGAGAGTGCAGCGCCGCCCGCAGCAAGGCCTCTTGCTCTTTGCGCTGAGGACGGGCGGGGCAGGATAGCCAATGGGGATGAGGAGCATGCGAGAAGAAAGGAAATCGAAACGAGGAGCACCCGTGAGTCTGGAGGGCAGGGGCCAAGTGGCAGAGGTGCTGGTCAGAACGGGGAGAGTCAAGCGACGGTCTCGAACGGAGTGAAAAGGGGCATTGAGATTGAGGAGGAAGTTTTTGAAGGGCACGAGGGCGAGTCAAGCGGGAACGAGAGAAGCTCGAGCATCGCTGAAGAAGCAGCCAAGGTGCAGGAAGGAATTTCGAATGCCGTTGACAGAGCAAGCACCATGAGTGCGGAGGAAGGGGCACGGAAACGAGCACTGCAAAAACATCCGCTAGAGTCAGGGGTTCCTCCGGCTCCTACATCATCAGCGGTGCGAAGTCATGTGGCCACAAGTCAGAAGCGTAGGTCGTCAAGCCTGGAGGACAGAGCGCTCACAATCCTTGCGGCTGTACTTGCAGCATGCATTGCTTGCTTACTGATCCGAAAAATACTAAGATATTTCTTGTAGTTGAACCAAGTTGCGAAACTTCGATGGTGTGTTTCGGGCTTCACATTGAAGACCCAATCTCAGTGCATAGCTTGACAAGAACATGCTAAAGACCGAGGCGAAATTGCTTGCAACATCGGAAGTGACTTTAGCATGTAGTTGGAAGCGACTTGCCACTTCATGACTCATTGGACTCATATGATCGGATGACACAATGTTGCATTGTTCGACTGTGTGCGTCACGACTCAGCCCAAGCACCCCTGATTCTTGCAACAGCTTCCATAAAGTTGTGTATGCGAAGCAAGCTCGATCATGCAATATACCGCCCCAGCTTTTTCATTGTATCCAGTGCGCAAACAGCGATTACTTTGCATGATGGCGCTGGGCCTGCATATCTGGCGGCGCCTCAGATGTCAAACTTGAAACGTATCTAAGAGAGCTTTTCTTTATAAGGCTGAAGCGCTGTCGATCTCAGGTACGTTTTCGCCATCATTCAGTACAACAGAATACATCAGAGCGTCATTCATTGCTGCGTCATGGATCAGAGGTGTCGGCAAATTCGTGCGTATCAACCCAAGCGTCAACCTTTCCATGTACAAGGTCCAAGACCAAAGCATGCATATATACACACACTAGCCTTGTAGATCTATTTGTAAATTTCTGCACCAGTTGTACCGTTTAGGCGGCCGGCTGCCTTGTGAGTCTGAACATGTTAGGTTACTGCTTAAATCTACAGAGATCTCATGAGTACCGTCCAGATTGAGCCACCGTTTGAGGTTTGTATGTGCCTGCCGATTGAAGATGCAACCAGTTTAAATTGCGAGTAGACATGCCCGGGCTAAACCAAGGCCGTCATTGGGATTGCCGAACAGGTTGCTGCTCTAGGAGTCAACTCGACGGACACATCGTTTGCGAGCTTGATGTCGCATCCACCCAATCGAGTTCGCCAACATAGTTTCCAACGGAACTCAGAGCCGACTATCACTTTGTGGGTCTTCTTGTCCTAGCATGGTCAACTCATGGTCCACCCACGTCTTTTGCCTCATGCCAGGTGACATCACCATGATTTTCACCATGTTTCGTCGCATGGTCTCAAGCATGCCTAGGAACAGCCTACATCCCTCTATCCGAAATTCTTCGAGCGGATTCATTTGCCCGAAGCCTCGCACGCTCACCTGCACGAGGATGCAAGGTTTGTTGTCGATAGATATGAACTCAAGAAGCTATCAGCCGCTTCCTGCACAATACAGCCAGCATCGAAGACAAACAGTCCTGGAGCCATCCTTGAAACCGCGCGCGCAGGTCGTGTCACACCGTGGTGGACCCTCACCGCTGAGCGCAGCCGCTTCAGGTTGGCCAGGTGCAGCTTCCAGTAGTCGTCCAGGTGCACCACCAGCAGCTGCGTCTGCACAGCGGCACGACGACGTGAGAAGCGGCACGTCTCGTCGCACTCAAGACCAAGCCGCCAACGGACTCGGTCGAACTTCTGGGCCGTGCTTTGTGCGCCGTAGTGGCGGGCCGTGGTGCACGCGCTCACCAGCATCTGTTGCTGCTGCACCGGAGCGTCAGGCAGCAGGGCCGCCATGGCGTGGTGCCGCGCGATCAGGCTCTCCGCCAGGAAGCTGCGCAGCACCTGCACGGCCTCCCGCCACGGCCCGCTCCTGCACGCACCGACACCCACCGCCACGCGTCACATAACCAAGCTTGCCCCCACCGGCATGCAACGGCAGCCGGCACAGGAGCAGGGACCCAGACCATTTGCCAAAGACGTCGCCAGCATAGCGGCGGCTCACCACTCGGGGCCGCGCTGGGCGCTCCTGCGGGCCTGGCGCGCGAGGATGGCGCGCTGCTCCTGGATGGTGAGGTCGCGCAGGGGCACGCCCGGCGGCAGCGCCAGCGCAGGGCCGGGGGGGGACGGCAGCGCCTGCAGCTCCGCCAAGAGCGCGGAAGGGGGGGGCAGCGAGAAGGGAGGCGCATCTGCAGCAGCAGGACCCAAGAAAAGGGGGGGCGTGAGGGTGCGGGCTGTGTGGACGGCATAGACACAAGGTGCGCAGCCCGGCCGACAGACCGGATCGATGGAGAAGAATGCGGAGGATTGACCAGAAAGAGAGGGCCGGCAGGGCGGGCGGGGCGGTCAATAGGGCTGACCGTTGACGTGCGCGTCCCCGAGCTGCTGAACCTCCGCCAGAATGGCCGCCAGGTCCCACGTGGCAGGGGGCTGCAAGCCAAGGGACGACAGTGCGGCAGCAGGGTGAGAGAGCAAGCGGCGAGACGCCGCAGGGGACAAGATGGCGACCCCGAGAAGCAAGGGCGTTGAAGGCAGCACGAGAAACAGGGGAAGCGACACACCCCGCTCAAGTACGGGCACAGCAGGCAGCCCGTGTGGTGGAGGGCTTGTGCCCATCGAGACAGCGGCGGGGCTCACCTGATTGGCGGCCGCGTGGCGGGCGATGACGTCGTCGACGCAGTCCTGCATGTACTGGAACATGCACGCCTCGACGGCGGCGGCGGGCGCGGTGAGCAGCTGCTGGCGCAGCGTGTAGATGTAGGCGCGCTGCACCTCGGGCACCGCGTCGAAGTCCATCACCTGCCGCCGCTCGCGCAGGTGCTGCTTCTCCATGCGCACCTGCAGCTTGCGGAACTGCGCGCGCAGCCCGCACCACAGCAGCTGTCTCAGCGCAAGCGCGTGCAGCGAGGGGTGGGCGGGCCACGCAAACGGGCGAGGACAGCGAGCAGCGAGAAGGAACGGGGGAGCGCAGCAGAGGGAGAAGGGCGAGATGTCGCGGCGAACCTCGTTGCCGACGGCGGGCGTGTAGGCGGCGATGTTGTAGTCGTCGTTTGCAAAGACGGCGTCGACGAACTTGGAGAGGCGGGTGGGGTCCAGCACCGCGCGGAAGTGCAGCATCAGGTCGTCGTCCAGCCTGGCAGCCACCACATGCAGGCGCACGCGGGCGTTAGACGGCGGCGCGGGGGGGGCAAGCGGCAAGAAGAGAAGAGAAGGCAAAGCGGCAGCCAACAAAGTCTACAAGCAAGGGGCTCCAGAATAGCAGAGCGTGCGGGCGGGAGGAGGGCCACTCACGAGACCATGAACTTGCTGGAGCCGGGGTCGCCTTGCCGCCCAGCGCGGCCCTTGAGCTGCACGCGGAGCAGGCGTCATCAAATGGACGGGGAGGGCGCGGAGCAGTGTCAGGAAGCGCGGGGCACAGGAGTGGACACCAGTGGGCCGGATGGGCTGCAACCCACGAGCATCAAGACGGCCTCGCTGCTGAGGTAGTTTCAGAGGTACCCCAGCGCGCGGAGGGCGCAACCTAGCATCCGATTGGACTCGGGCCAGCCTGACCTGGTTGTCGACACGGCGTGACTCGTGGAGCTGGGTGCCGATCACGTGCAAGCCCCCCAGTGCGCGCACACGCTCGCCCTCCTGCTTGCAATGCGCCGAGCAGTCCTGCAGGGGGGGGCTGCGGCGGTCAGTGGCTGCCAGCGCACAGCGCGCCGGGATGCCACGCCAACGGCTGAGGCGCTACTGCAGCGGGGAAGGGATACGTAGTGTCCTCAGCACTCCACGGCCCTTGCCAAGCCGTTCTCATTGCCACGGCAGCCTGCTAGTGTTCGAACCCAGCCGGCATCCAATGTCACGAAGGCGCTGTCCCTGCTGCGCCGTGCATGCCTCGCCTTGTGCAGCGCGTAGTAGGCAGCGCCCATCCAGAAAAGCAGCTGCCGCCGCTCGGCAGTTTGCTCGCCTCCACTGGGCGCCGCCGCATCCCCCTCGCGCAGCAGGGCGTCTAGGCGGGGCGGCATCTCGTGCGGGGCGGCCACGTGGCGCTCCCAGTGTGCGCGCAGGCTGCGCTCCAGGCCCAGCTCCGTGGCGCGCGCCACCAGGGCCGCTGCGGCGTCCGTGTCAAAGGGGCCAACCACGCGGGCTGCACCACAGGGTACGCAGCGGCAGGTTGGACGGCAGCAGGCACGGTCCAGGGCTGCTGCCGACTCGGTCAGTCGACATAAGAGAATGCTGTAACTGCGCTTTCTGACAAGGAAAGCAACACACTGTGCGCGTGGTATAGGCTAGCCTTGAAAGCAAAGCGAAATCGCACCTGGAACCCGACCCAGTCTTAGAGCTGGTGCGTTCCTGGTTCCAGCTTGGGATTTCTAATGGAGCTGGTGTGAGAAAGTGAACACCCTGTGGTTGCTGGGGCCCGTACCCGCTTTCTGGGCTTGTGCGAGCAGGACCCACGTAGGCGTGCTGCAATGCACGGACGGCAGCACCTGCGTGACGGGCGGCGGCGCCGCTTCTTCCTCGGGGCCGAGCGCGGGCGGCTCCGGGCCGGGCGGGCAGAGCAGCGGGTCGAGGTACTTGCGCAGCAGGGTGCCGGCCAGCATCTCCGCGTTGCCGCCCAGCAGGATGTCCGTGCCGCGGCCCGCCATGTTGGTGCTGATCGTGATGGCGCCGAAGCGGCCCGCCTGCGCGATGATCTCCGCCTCGAGCGCGGCGTACTGCGGGCGCGCGTTGAGCAGGTTGTGCGAGATGCCGTTGGCGGTCAGGATGTCGGACAGCACCTCGGAGCTGCTGACGCTGGTGGTGCCCACCAGGACGGGCCGCCCCGCGCGCGTCATGGCCAGCACCTCGCGCGCCACCGCGCCAAACTTGCCGCGCGCGCTCGGGTACACCTCCAGCGGCAGGTCGGCCCGCACGGCGGGCACGTTGGTGGGGACCACCACCACCGGCAGCTTGTACACGCGCACGAACTCCGACTCCTGCACGTGCGCACGCCCGACGATTCAGGAGCACAGGCGTCGAAGGGCAGGGGAACGCGGCAAGTGAGCAGCGACCCCTGGCTTCAAAGCAGCCTCAGGACAGCAAACCCTTGCTTCGATTGAGTGGCGGTCACACCGAGGCTCTCGCTCCAAATTGAAGAATAGCTTTTGCATTTTCGTGGAAGAAAGAAAACGGGTATCCCATCTGAGCCAGTCGACGGTTGTTAGAACGCAACCACTCCTATCCAAGTCGAGATCAGGACGGTCGAGCACCACATCGCCCTCATAAACGCATAGGTTGGGACTCTGATCAGGTGATGAATTTCGCTTGTCTTGTGAGAGAAGATCCAGAGGGGGCGGGTCTTTCCATTTGCTCTTTGCAAATAGCAGGCGCCGCAAAACACGAAATGGCTGGGGGACGACCAAGAATTGCAGCGCTGCCATTCAGATTCTGACGTCAAAACTGAAACGCTCGAGATCTTATGTCGCATCTGGTTAGGCACGTTCGTCTAGCCCCAGTATCGCACCGGTCCTGCCAAGCTTTGCGACCCCTTTTGAAACTTCGCAGACAGGAGTCCTTGCATTGAGATCGGACGGTAGCGCTGCAACCTCGACCATCACAAGATTGTGCGATCCGCCTGATACTATCTCCGACCGGGATGGGTAAAGCAAGTTGCGGTGGGGGCGTGGGTGCGGGGCCGCACCTCGGTTTTGGCGGTGCCGGTCATGCCGGCGAGCTTGGCGTAGAGGCGGAAGAAGGCCTGGTGCGTGATCTCGGCGATGGTGCGCATCTCGGGCTGGATGGGCACGCCCTCCTTGGCCTCCAGCGCCTGGTGCAGGTGGTCGCTGTAGCGCCGCCCCGGCTGGCTGCGCCCCGTGAACTCGTCCACGATGATCACCTGCCCGTCCTTGACGATGTAGTCCTTGTCGCGCTTGAAGCCCTCCTTGGCGCGCACCGCCGTCACCACGAAGTCGGCCCACGTGTTGTCCTCCGCCCACAGGTCGGCCACGCCCAGAAACACCTCCGCCTCCAGCACGCCCTCCTCCAGCAGCTCCACCGCACGGCTGCCCTCCTTCACCTTGTAGTGCTGCGCGCGCACACCGCAAGGAGTGCGCTCAGGAAACAGCGCCTCGCGCACTCAAGCAGGCTGCAGAACAACGGCATGGACTCTGCCGTCTATCGAAGAGTAAGTGACATTTTCAGCGGGTGCGGCAGCCTCGTGGTGACAAGGGTGGCTCGGGTCAAGCTTGAGATTAGGGCGCCCCGGCAGTCCCACCTGGTCCTTGACCATGCGCGCTGCGGCGGCTGCGGCCTGGGGGTACTTGTCGGTGTTGCCCCCCGAGGGCCCGCTGATGATGAGCGGGTTGCGGCCCTCGTCGATGAGCACGCTGTCCACCTCGTCGATGATGGCGAAGTGGAACGGCCGCGCCTCGCGGTGGCGCATCAGGTGCTTGTTCAGCTCCACCATGTCGCGCAGGTAGTCGAACCCCACCTCGTTGTTGTTGGCGTACGTGATGTCGCACAGGTACGCCGCGCGCCGCGCCGCCGTCTCCATGTTGGCCTGGATGAGCCCCACGGAGAGGCCCAGGAAGCGGTGCACGCGGCCCACCCACTCGGCGTCGCGCTTGGCCAGGTAGTCGTTCACCGTGATCACGTGCACGCCGTGCCCCGCCAGCGCGTTTAGGTACGCGGGCAGCGTGGAGACCAGCGTCTTGCCCTCGCCCGTGCGCATCTCCGCCACCGCGCCACAGTGCAGCACCGCCCCCCCCAGCACCTGCACGTCGAAGTGGCTCATCCCCAGCGTGCGCCGCGCCGCCTCGCGCACCGTCGCAAACGCCTCCGCCTGGAGGTCCTCCAGCGTCGCGCCCCCCCGCAGCCGCGCACGGAAGCGCTCCGTCTGCCCCTTGAGCTGCTCGTCGCTCAGCGCAGCCATGTGGCCCTCCCAGGCGCGCACAGCGGCCACCGTCTGCCGGAAGTCGCGCAGGACCCACTCGTTCAGGTCCAGCCCGCGCTGCACGGCCGCCACCACGCGCTGCACCACGCCCGGGGCCGTCTCAACTGCGGGGGCGGCTGCCGGGGGAGGACCGGGCGCTTCCTGCTTGTAATCGTCCTCATCAACCTGGAAAGTCACGGCCGCAGCCCGGCAGGCAACGGCCCTGTCCCTGGTCACAGGGGTCCGGTACGAAGCACGTGCGGCAGCTTGCCTGGCCCCGCCAGCCGTGCTCCCCGCTCTGCGTGTGTGCGCACCCGTCAACCCACCCCCCGCCAGCGGCCTACCCCCAGGAGGCAACCCCCATTGCTCGCGGTTGCCCCTCCGCTGCGGCTGCCCTTCTGCGGACCTCCCTCCCCAGTAGCGCCCCTGCGGCTGGCTCCTGCAGCCGGCCCACACTGATGGCACTGGGGCAGCTGACCAGGGCTGTGGGGCAGGCAGGAAGCGCGCCTGGCAGGCAGCCCCCGCCCGCCCTGACGTGCTGGCCAGGGAGATGATGGTCTCCCCACAGCGGGGCAGCAGGCAGCAAGCGTCCGCCATACTGGGAGGGCATACACGTCAGAGCAGCAAGGAGTGGACACTACAGGCACTCAGCGGTGAGCTTTGGGGCGCCCGAGAGCAGGCACAGTTGTACAAGGGGCCACAGCCTAAGGGCTGCGGCGGCAGAGCTGTTGGAGGGGCTCCTTCCCGCATGCACCCGCTTGGCCCGCTCTCCTCCAGGGGTAACTTGCAGCGGACACGTGCCGCCCCAGCATCGCAAGCCCGCCACCGGATATGCCTCAGCCAAACCAATCTGTCTCCTCCTGCAAGAAGTGAAAGCAAGCCCAAATGAACGAGTTGGCTCACGAGCAAGCAAGAAGGCTGGTGGAGTATGGCGCTTCTTGATGTGTCACGGCTGCAAAAACAGTATCCTCATATCCCCGTTCTACTTCCGACGGCAATCTACTTAGCACAACTGTTGAGGATGCCTGTTCATGTCATGTTTCAATGGTCTGCCTACAGAAAGAGAAAGCACCAGCCTGCAAGCTGCGCATTTAAAGTGACACCTAAATGCACCGTCGGTCTGATGGGGGGTGGTGGTGCTCAGGACAAAAGCTACTGGTGCTACAACCAGGAAAGTGAGGGGCCGGGCATTTGCAAGCTGCCAAACGTCTTCTTTTTAATGAAAGCCAGGCAACTTCTGCAGGAACATACTACTGACTCCAAAGCAGTGTGGAAAGCGTCAGACCATGTGTCGACGATGCTCTGTGCGTTAAGCTCAGCTTGAGTTGTCATTCACGAAGCATTCCTTGCAGAATTCTTGCAGCATTGCAAAGACGCAGCATGCAAAGAGTCCCTATAAGTGAATGCTTAAAACGCTTTTGTACAAAAGCCTTCGCCCAGCTGAAAACCTACCTTTCAACCACTTTCAACTCGCCCTAGTGCCTTGGCGTCTTCTATCCTATACTAGATACTCCTGCAGCCTGCTGCCACAAGATTACTTTCTGGAAATTCTGAACAGCATTGTCAGCAATGTTGACTACCATGTTCACCACGGCATTCCTCCTTCCGCTGTCTGGCCAGTGGCAACGCCAAGGCCATGCCGCAGCAAAACCAGAGGCGGCCCGGAGCGGAGCCCCGGGCACGACTTTAGATTATAGATACACACTCCATCTTTGGCCGGTTCGAAGACCCGGTGGTATACCAGCTACCCTCGCCCAGACACCATTCATCATGATTAGGTACCTTAAATGCAATCTGCAGGCCGCTTCACTTGGAAGACTCTCACTCACTCACACAGGAAGAGGAGTCAGCTTACCGCACTACATACAATGATACATGCGAGATGTCTTCGATCGTGCGTTTCAGGGAAGATGCTGTTTGGGATGACTCGGCGGATTGGCAAGATATTATATTAAGGTGAGTCCTCATGCGCATGCCATGTCGGATTGGCGGAGCTCAGGGACGGAGAAGATGATATCTGTCACAATTCTGCGCCCGCCTTGATGTCTATCGAACCCCTGCCATCAGTGGTGATCAGCAGTGTCCGGCTAACATTCGACTATTGTATAATGCATCATGCAACCAATTTAGAGGGATTATGACAACGGGAGTCCATATGTCCTCCATCCAAGTTGGATATTGGCACCGGCAGTATGTTGGTCGTTTGAGCTGCTACTCACGTTGCAAGCATGTAACAACATGGACATCATGAACAACGATCATGTACTGTTTTCGGCATGTCAGAGCATGTTCCGTATCCGACGAACCAAGTTAGGCACGATCCGAAGCATGATTGGCATCAAAGGGACATGGACTCCCAACCAAGTGATTATACGCCGCGCATGATGTGATTCGCCTTACAATGCCCCTTACAAGGGTCGAGTCAAATTGGCTGATATTGGCTGCTATTTCTCAGTTCAGATGGTCTCCGCGCTGATAGATTGAGCACCAGAACGTTGACCTCCAACAACGCGTGCAACAAAAGGCATCAAAGAGCCAACAAATAGCAACACGGCTACGGAGGTTGTTGCCTTGGTCTCTCGTTGTCTCTACTCCTTTCCGACCTGCTGGATGTCGTCTTCTTGGCCCCCTCCTTCGCTTGTGCATTCAGCCTGGCCGCAAGGTCCAGCATGTCCGCGGGTGCACTACTCTCCTTCCTTCCCGCCTCCGTCCGTGCAAAGCGCGGCCGGCGCCCCTGCGTTTTGTTCCTCCCGCCGCTCCCTTTGGTCGGTCGCTCCTCCCCTTCCTGCCCACTGTCATCCCCTGCCGACTTATCCGCCTCCACCTTCCGCCCGCTCGTCGTCGCCCGGCCTCGACCTGTCTTCGACCTCCCCCCGCGAGTCTGCCGCCCTTCTTGCGGGGCCGCAGCATCCTCAGGCGGCCCCGGCCCCCTTGCCCCTCCCGCAGGGCTTGGACTGTCTGGCCTGCGGCCTGCGTGCTCGCCCCGCTGCCTGCCTGCCTGCGTGGTCCTCAGTCCCGTCACTGTGCGGAAGCTCCCTCGGTGAACGGTCCCGTTCGTCACCAGCTGCGCACCCTCGCTCGCGGTCCGGCGGGCCCCCCTCTCGGTCGCCCGTGTTCCCTCCCCTGACCCGGTGTCCCGCGGTCCTGCCTGGGGACTGCTGACCAAGGGGGGCCGTTCTGGGGGGGCGGTGGTGGTCTCGTAGCGGCGCAGCTGGTGGAGCGCGACCTCGGTGTCGATGCTGGCCGGCAGCACGACCGGGCGCGGCGGCGCGGGCGGGGCGGCCTCCAGGGCGGCGAGGAAGTCGGTGATGGGGCGCGCCTTGACCGCGTGGAACATGGCCTTGAGCTGCAGCGTCTTGTCGTCGGTCAGCAGCGTCACCTCGCCGCCGCCCCCCGAGAAGTGGACGCAGCAGTCCACCAGCTCGTCGTCCGCCTCGTCCGCCCGCCCCACCGCTGTGTAGCTCGTCTGCCGCCAGGCCTCCCGCGGAGACGGCACACCGACCAGCGCGGCGCGGTTCTCCGCAGGATCTGAAGGCGGAGAAGCGAGGTCCAAACAAAGCCACGAGGACACCCACGAACTACAGGAGCAGATAGTCCACCGAGGAGGTGTCGCTGCTCTAGTTGTTGTGGGCTTGGATGCTTCTTCGAATCATAATGAGAGGACAGCGATGTGCTCGGATGTCAATTCTCGAGGTCCAGAGCAAGGAATCCATCGACCGGGTGCTCGTTCTGCTTAATCGGCTAGATTCCAAGCAGGGACGACGGGAATACAACACACGGCCGCGGACTTGCAAGATTTGAGGACGTCGTTTTAGCACGATTTTAATCGTATGGATTTGTGCGCCACTGGCCAACTTCTGGGCCGACGCAATGAGCGGGTCATTCCGGTGTAGCCTGGTCTTGTTTGCAGCTGGCCCGAGAGTTGGGCGGGCGTTGCGTGACAGTTCGCCCCCAGTCGCGCGGAAGGGGGGTGGGCCTCACCTGTGCCGACGAGGCAGCGCACCTCGGAGCGCCGCTGGCCGCGCAGCCACGTGACGCCGGCTGCCATCTCCTGGGACATGTAGCGCAGCGCCTGCAGCACGGCACGGCTCAGGCACCCGGGCAGGCAGGAAGCAGAGAGGGGCGGAGCGAGAGGGGGAGGTCGAGAGGACGCCGACAGCGAAAGTAGACGCAAGAAGATGGTGGGCAGTCCAAAGGTACACGTACGGGAGTCTGTTTCTCAAAACGAGTTAGATCGGGCAGCACGCAGACAAGGGCCAGGCATTCAATGAATGGGAAAAGCAGGCGGGAGCGAAGTCAGTATCTATCAAGTATGACTTGGCGTTTCATGAAGAACACTCGAGCCAGCGTACCTGTGCTACTGGAATACTTTGCACCTTGGCAAAACCGGTGTCAAAACCAAACGAGGCCTTGGCAGTCCTTGAAGAAACCAGGTGACTTCCGAAAAGCAACGAGGCCCAGCTGACAGATTCTCTGATACGGTGGACTTTTTCCAAATGCACAAGCCTCGACTCAGCGCACACGACTCCTGTAAGCTGTGTGGCGCCTGCCCGGCTCACCTTGCGCGCAAGTGCCCCCGCCCGCTTGTCGGGGTGGCTCTGCAGCCCGTCCAGCTCCTTCAAAACTGCAAAGCACACGGCCCACCAACGCAGCATCAGAGCCCGGGACAAGCCTGCGCCCAGCAATCGAGCAGGACAGCCCGAGCTCGAGATACCACGCTTGCTACCCTGTGCAAGTGACTTCGCGAGCCTCCGGTCTCAGGCCAAGCGCACAGGAAACCGCGTCTCCTTCGACCACCGCAATTCCGGTCATCTTCGCACATCATTGTTTTTTACCGGCTCATATAACGCTAGGCAACATTCTGCAGGCATCGCGAATGTTGCCGCACGCCCTGCTCCTCGGCGGGTGGCCCTCACCTGCGAGCGGGACCACCGTCTGCACGCCAGACTTTTCGCGCAGCCGCTTAATCTGCGGCAGGTTCCTCAGAAACTGGTTCGTGTCGGGGATCACGTAGCGCATGGCCGGGGCCGCCACTGCTGGCCCCGCCGCTGCTCCCTCCCCTCCCCGCGTCCCTGCTGCATCTTCCTCAGAACGTGCCACGGCGTCTTGTTCGGAGGGCTCCCCCAGGAAGCCCAGAGCCCGGCCCGTCTGATCGACCACCCGGCTGACGCCTTCAGGGACGAGGCCACGGGGCTTGCTGACGTCATGCACCTGGCCCATCTTGGAGAAGTAGGCGTGCTCGAGGGCCGGCCCTGGCGAGGACGCCTCATTACCTGTACAAACAGAAAGTCGATGGGAGGGAGGCCCAAGGGCGAAGGAGCGCGTGCAGCGTCCTAACATACAGCGGCGGTTGTCGATATGAGGCATTCGCCGCTGCGAATCTGCACTCTGCATGGAGTGCGTTGGAGTACTTGCTGGAGTACTCAAAGATCACGTAGCAATGTCCCGAACGAAGACACAGCAGATTGCTTTTGATGCTCGTTGTCAGCTATAACGGCTCTCCACCTTTACGAACAGTATGCGGTAGCTTAGTCCTTTAGCATGTGGTCCAACTTTGCCAAGTGGATTTCACATTTAGGCAGTGAAGAGGCGGGTGCCTCTGAGGCCTCAAGATCTGTGGTGATGGCTGACGCAGTGTACCATCAGAAGGTCTGCTCAAAAGGCATCCGACTCTTTGGCTGATGCCGCTCAAGTGCAACATTCGATAATAAAAGCGAGGGCCCGCCACCGGGGTCCCTCACCTTTCCTCCCCGCCAGGGCCTCCAGTCCTCGCTTGCCGAGCCCCTCCATCCACTCGCGGCTGCCAATCAGCTTCTTTTCCCTGGGCGGCGCTTGCCCCGTCTGCTGGCTGAGCGGGATGCTGGGCAGCGCCCCCCGCTGCTGGAGGACCTTGGAGAGCAGGCTGCGCTGCTGCTCCAGCTCCTGCAAACAGGAGCAGGGGGGACGCCGTCAGCGCAGCTTCGCCTTCTCGGCGACTTGCCCAGACCTCGCAGCATGCAAGGCCCTACCATCTTGGGTCCACCGCATGTGCGCACAACAGCGGCCGATGCGGGTCAGCAGGCGCCGGCCATGGCTGGGAAGTCTGGGAGGGCGCACCTGCTGCAAGGAGGCCACGAGCGCCTCGCTCTCGCTCTTCTGATCCAGGGCCACCTTGACCAAGTCCTTGAGCTGCACCAGCCCCGACTTGCGCCGCTCCGACACCACGCCTGCGCACGCACGGCAGCTCAGCGCAAGGATGAGGAGCGGCCCGCCGGGCCTCCGCTGGCATGGGTCCAGGAAACCCACGGGAGATGACCACGGGACACGAGGGTTTCGGCGAGGGCAGAATAATGTGGGAGTGAACCATGCCTCTTGTACTGAGGACAAGCAGTCTCCACCACGATCGAACATTTTTCAAAATCGCCAATGGCCCCACTTTTGGAAAGAGACCAGATGGAAGCCTCACAGAACGAGTCTTTCTTGAAGCCTGACGATGGCTGCGGCTGCAATATAACAACACAAACTTCCAAAACGTCTCACCAAAGATGATTGCGCCCGCAAAGCCCAGCCCTTCCAACTCTGCGGATGGGCGGAAGAGCGTTGCGAAGCATTGGGGGCCCCCGCACCCTTTCTGCAGGCTCTCCGCCAGGTCCGCGGGGCTCTTCACCTCGCCCCCACTCCGGATCACCTCCTCCCGGGGGGGCTCCCGCAGCAGCTCGTCGGGGTCATAGACGAGCACCGGCAGGCGGGGCCCAAGCGGATTAGGGGCTGGGGGCGCTTTGAGGCCACTGCGGGGTGCAGCAGTGAATAGAAGGGCACCAGCCTGGGCTGAGGGCGGGTCGAGGGGGAACTGATAGCCCTGTTGCAAAGAGGTGGACAGGGAGGGCCGCACGTCCATGGCAGGGGGAAGGCGCGTGAGGGGCGGGTCCTGCGGGGACACCGGCAGCATGGCACCCGCGGGCACAGGCCCCAGGACCAGCAGGAAGGCGGCAGCGGCGCTAACAATGCCGGCACTGGGTAAGGGACGGTGGGCGCCCACCACTAGCGACCTTGGGGACTTCTCAGGACCGCTGCGCATGACCTCAGAACCAGAGGCTGCCAAGTTTGCATCCTCAGTGCACTTGCTTCGGGCCTGCTCTTCATTAGCTGACTCGTCTGGCGGCGCCCAGGCAATCCATGTCAGGGCGTGTGGCTCAGTGAAGCTGGTGGTCACCCTCCCCCCGCTCGCCAATGAGAGGCTGGCGCCTCGTGCCTCCTGCATGTAGCCCCCGAACCAGAGCTGCGAGGGCAGGCTGTCGCACAAGAATGCGGCCACGTCTAACCGTGCTGCCACTGCGTCCTCCACTACCAGCGCATGGCATGCGCTACATGCTGTGCCACCTGCACTCCAGTGCCCCGCTCCCCGTGATTGCCACCGTAGCTGACCTAAGCGCTCACCCCTGCCTTCTGCTGGCGCCCCAATCGCGCAGGGGCCTGGACGCCGGCTGCTTCGCACGCTAGGATAGGCCGCGCCGCTGTTGCAAAGCAATGCTGTGCTTTCATTTGCACGGCCTTGCTTCCTTTGGATCAGACAGCCCCCAGCTTCTGCCAGTCCTGGGCACCAGTGTGTATTAAGGGGTTGACGCCACACCCCCCTACGAGCCTCTGTTCTTTTCGCATGCTGTGATGTTGATTTGGTGACGCCCCTCATCGCTCGCTCTGGAGAGCTGATGAGAGCAGCCATCATGGCCCGTGGACCCAAAGAAATCCAGGGTCCCGGGACGTCCCTGGCCTGGATGGCCACAGCTTCAGCCTCAGGCCCTGGAGGCCCAGGGCTTTCTGAGTCCAGCAGCCTCAGCTCAGCTCACAATGACATGTCTGACACGAGCTCCCCTTCGCTGGACACGAGCTGAGGACTCAGCCTGCCCTCAGCGTGTCGCATGAACTGTGATGATCTGGTCAACCCAGACTCCCGGTCCGTATCGAGAAAACCTCGTAAAGCCATTTTGGTTTTACGAGCAAATCGTTCGATGTCCGTAGATCCGTATTGGACAAATTCATCGTATTCGCTGGGGCCGTATTGGAGGATTTGCTCGATACTGAGAATGCCCTATCGAGCAAATTGCTCGATTCTTGGACCCCGGTGGTTAGATCTCCGGTAGTTTCAGGGGTCGGTCCGGACGATCTTGTGGAGATGGCAAGGCGGTTTTGGAAGAGGTTTAAAAAGCGAAAGTCGAGGGTCGGGGTTGCAAGTAGAGCGGAGTGGTTTGATTACTGTCAAGAG